CTTTTAGATTTATAGCCTCTTATGGGCTTTTTGGCTTGTATATAACTAATGTTGTAGTTTTTTGGAATGCCTCTTATCAACTTTTTGTCTTCATGTAATAACTCAAGTAGGATTTATTGATTATTAATTCCTGTAAATTCAAAACCTTGGAGGAGTAAAACCTGAAAATGGTTTGAGATTAAAAATGTTCACTTCAGCTAAATCCTTATAAACTTTTTTTTCTTTTTTTTCCTTATGTTGATTTTATGTTTGACTGAAAAATTTGAGGGAATTTTTTAAAAACATAAGTTTGTGCCCCCATTGTAAATATTTTTTGGTTCCGCCACTAATATTTATTCAAATTTTTTCTAATAGACGGTTTTGAAATAAGCAATTTTTATCAATTTAAAAATTTATTTTAACATCTAAAAATAATACTTTTGTTCAGTTAAAGCTTCAAAATATTATTATTCATAATATCTAGTAATATGATGGAATTACGAAAATTGTATTTTTGATGGACTACATAACACTCAGTGGGAATGATTTTGAGAGCCATTATAACATTTTGAAAATTTAGATGATCAGAGTAATAACTTCAACATGTGTTTGAAATATTTAATTTACATGAACGGAAGGAATTTTGTTATTTGTTACATTTATTGAAAAATCTAGAGTGTGATGGTTATTCTGATATTAGGGGTGTCAAAATATATTTCAGGTTTATTTTGGGTCAACTCCGACATTGACATGCTCTTAACACGTCCGACCTCACTACAGGAAAATCACTCATATATTACCGGCGAAATTTTCAAGCGGCTTTCCAGCGGATAATTTTACGGTGGCTTTCCGACGGAAGACAATAAGACAATTTTTCCGATGAAATTTTCCGACGGTTTCTTTCCAACAGAATTTTCCGGCGGCTTTTTCAATTCTCCAGCACAATTTTATAAATTTAATTAAATTGATTAACATTTTAACTATTTAAATGATTTAACAAAAATGATTAAAAATAATATTAATTATTTCCTTAATTTAAGTAAAAAGATTATAAAATTATATTTTAAATTTTAATTTATTTTTTAATTAGTAATTTTAGTAGTATTTTATTTCATTATTAAGTTAATAATTTGTTTTAATTAAAATTTAATTGTAATTCTTTATTTTAATTAATTTTCATTTTAATAGAAACCGAAACCCTAAAACAAAATTCGCCTCGTTCTCTTAGAATACACTATGGAATTGCACAAAATTTTAAACGTAAGATCTGTGTATGAACAGAAATCGTGGGGGAAAGTTATTTTGATCTGAAAAGCACCATAGAGAAACTTATTTAACTCTAAGTGTTTAGTCTATTCTAAGGGTTTTAAGGAGATTTCACAGTTGGATCTTCGATTTCTTGATATGGTTGCACTTGTAAACTGTTCTCGTACGTTTCTCCTCTTGAGACCTCGATCAAACGAGCTCTGGATTGGTGGGATCGAAGACTTAAGCGTCCAAGCCTTCGGGTCTCTGAAATCTCGCCGCCGGCGAGGTTTGGCCGTCGGGATTCGATGGGGGAAGGTGGAGGAAGGGTGTGGGAGCACTCTTACCAAATCTCAGAGCCTGAGGTCGTCTCTAGATCAAGCAAGGGCACAAAGATCCTTTCCTAAACCTAATTTTGGCTATTTAAGGCTCCTAATCATATGATCAGCGGCTAGGATCGATCCTAGATGAATTTAGGAGGAAAATATGTCGGTTTTGGCCGTGGAAAGCATTTGAAATTCGAAGGAGTTAAATTAGAGCCTTTAAATGTATTAATTGGGCTCCTAATGGGTGATTATGACCCATTAATGGCCAAATTTGACCGAGTCAACATTTGACTTAGTCAAATCAGCCAATTGGGTCAATGGGGTATGAGGTTTGAGCCATGAATGAGTTTGGATGAGTTTGATTTTGATTTGAGGCTCAAAAGGGGCTAAGTGGTCAACCCTAGTTGACTTGGTTAACTGGGTTGACCCAGGGCCCAAGTCTGGTTCCAATGGACTTGGTTTGATCCACTGAACTCATGGGAGGGGGTCTTGGGGTCTGACTTGGTCAATTTGACCAGGTCAACCTCCTTGGTCATCATGAAAGAGAGATTGATACAACTAATATGAAAAATAAATGTAGTGCATGCATGTAAGCTTTTATAACTCAAAAATTTGAAAACTATATATATTTACCTATAATTAACAATCAATAATTTATTCAGAAGTCATTATAAAGCTCAATTCATAAACCATCTTCTCCATAATATATCTATTATTGTGTTTTGATTTTCCTAATATTTTTTATAATTTTTTGGCGCTGGAGAAATTCCTAAAGAAATTGGCACATGACATCACAAGAGGGTGTTTGGGGAGAATTAGGTGTCTATTTTGCAAACATATGTTATCTAAAATTTCTAAGTAAAATAAGTTATTTTGTATATATTTTTCTATAATTTGTGAAGTCGTAAATTTATAAGAATTTTATATTAAAAATATCATAATATTATAATTTTATAAAAAATGTAAAACACTATACATCGGAAGCCATTAATCCCATTCATTTAGCCATTTGGGGAGAAATGGTTTTGGGAAATGAGAAGAAAATAGAGGAGATACAAAAAGAAAGTTAAGTTTTGGCAACTGTTGAGTGATTTTCGCCCATATCCCTAGTTGGAAAATTTTCTCGTCTCAATATATATATATTTCATTTTGCCTATTTAAGATTTCAATAATTTCGTGTTTTTATATATTTAGATCAAATTTTTATATTAGTTATCAAAAAACGAGTATAATTTTGTTTTGATAAAACTTTAACTTTGTAATTTTTTATATATTATAGAGATTATGATTAATAACATTTTGAGTATATTCTAGAATTTTGTTGCTAGTTGATTTTGAAAAAGCATCAATTTTTTCAACATAGAAATTTATTTTGATATCTAAAAATAGTTCTTCAATTAAATTAAAGTTTTATAATGATGTTTTACACAATTTATGATAATTTAGTTATGTTTGAAAATTATAATGATGTTTTACTCAGTAGTATTTCTATTGTCTATTGGTGAGATATTTTGGTAATTTATAAATTTAATTAAATTATGCTTTAATTAATGAAATGCATTGAAAAATATATTATGAAGTGTTGTGATGTGATTTTTGCTCCAATAAGTGACCGAGGTTGGATTTTATTATGCCGGCGCCTGTGAGCAACCGAGGTGGGATTCTGTTATGCTGTAGAGATTCCATTATCGAAGTGTTATTATGCCGGAGCTAATGGACTGCAAAAGTGGGTTTCTGTTTTAAAGTGTTGCTTATAATTAAGTTCATTTAAATATTTAGTTTCAGCATATGATTCAACGCTGTGTTTTAAGTCCTTTTGGTTTTAGTCTTTTATTTTTGTTATAGGCTACGATAGCTTACTGAGACATGTTAGCTCATCTCGCTTTAGTTTTTATTTTCAGGCCCAATGAAGGGTAAGGAATGAACTGAGCTGTTTGGATAACACGCTATGATCTGTTTTGTATATATGTTTTAGTTAGTTTTGATTTTTTGTAGGCTTGGCTTTTATTTTTTGTTATACCCTCTGTTGTCAAGCGGTATTGTAGATAGATTTCAGACTATATATACTTAGGATGACTTAAATAAAATTATATTGAGATTTAGTAGTCTATCACTTTATATTACAATTCGATAGTGGCTATATATATGTAGGATATAAATTGTAAGTTTTATTTCAGTATTTCTCCAAACATATCTTAGGGTCAATCTTGTCATAATCGGATAGAATATGACGTGATATCGGGTCTGATTATGACATAAGCCATGATGGTTGACTATTAAAACTCTAATTAATTCGGGTTGGCTGTTAAAATATAATATGCTATGCAGGAGGATGGGTCGACAAACTTTCATTTAAATATGTTTTGTGGTGTTATTCCGATTGTAACATGTAATTCATAAATGATTACGCCGACATACAGATTGTGACAATACTTAATAATTTATTGAAAGTTACGGGTAATGATAAAAGGATATAGATGCTATAATGATAATGATGAATACATACAAATGAATGAAAATCTTATATTAAAGATGGATGTCATGCCTTGTTGAATGTCTGAATCCTATACTATTGCAACTCATACATTGATAACATTGATAATATTGACTGATTTAATATTTTTTTCTTAAATTATTTTGCATTGGGTATGGTCATTTATTTTTCATCAAATCGGGTTGCTAGCGGGTCGGGTTTGTGTCCGTCTTTTTGATACGTTTATTAAAGGGGTCAGTTTTGTGTTGATTGGATTCGGGTGGGTTTAACTTTCTCTAAAATATATAAATATTGCGTTTGTCTAAATAATGTAATATTAGCTTGATTTATATTTTAAAAATTAAAACTGCACCATTTTTGGCATTTAAATTTTAAAGATTAAAATAAACATTTGTGGTTCACTTTTTTAGAAGAATATTAATTAATATCATGTTGAACAAGATACATAAAAAATAAAATTCAACAAAAAATATTAATTTTTTTTGTAGCATTGCAAATAAGCTTAGATAATAATTTAGATGATAACATTGACAATAAAATTGAGTAAAATATCAAATATATATATATATATTGAATGCGTCTGATGATTATTATAAGTAAAAAACTCTTATATCAAAATATATAATAAAAAATCAATATTTTTTTAATATTGAATGCGTCTGATGATTATTATAAGAAATAATATTAAATGCACTCAAATTTAAATCTCCAGAGAATGATCACTCTCAGCCTCAGACAAATTTCATAAAAAAGTTCTCATATAATTTTTACCCTTAAAAACATATGTTATTAAAATAGCCCAAATTCTATTTTGAGGGTGTCCAACTTCACATGGTGCCATAAAAACATCTGCACATAATTTGCTGTGATCCAAGCAACACAGAACAGATAAAATAAGCTATACAATCTATCACAACCTTCGATCTTATTGATCTTATTACTCAAATTAGCAGATAATCTCAGTAGAGAGTAGACACCCGCCGATGGCAAAACAGTTTGCTGGAAAGCCCAGAGCAGCAAACAATGGAGCTCCAGAGCTCCCTCCACACCTGATTTCTCTCCTTTAAAAGTGGAAATACAGAAGGCACAATTCTCTTTTTTTCAGCTTCTCAGCTACTTATCCTCAGTCCTAATCTCCATCAGCTTGATCATTTAATCTTATTTGTTCTTTGCTTAGGGTAAGGGCGTTCTGCTGCTTCAATCTTTCTTCTACAGAGTCACTGATTGGGTTTGAAAAACGTTTCGTTTCTCTGTTGATCATTGTGTAATTGCAGGGTTGCAGTTGTTAGTCCGTGGAGGTTTTTGGAGGAGATGGTAGATTTTTGTGTCGCTGATCTCAGTTCCTCGGTGTAAATATTTGAAAATCTGTTTTAAAATATTTCTGCTATTTTTAGGGTAGGAATAGTGGTATAAATGACGATGATAACGAAGAGTTCAGTTGGGAGAGTGATGACGATGAGAAGGAAAACCGAGCCGGAATGCCAGGGGAGGTAACGTAGTCTACGTGAAGATGAACTAGAATTTTTCTCTTGTTTGTGCATGTCTTTAATTCCACGTGTGAAGCACCGATTAGCTTCTTGTTTGCTTGTTTGTGTTGTCACTGTGCTGGATTAATTATTCCATGAACTTTATTTATATATTAACGCCATTAATTTATTCCCTGAAGGCATGCGAGGCAGGACCTTCTCAGCCTAGCTTGTATTCCTATTTCATAGCCATGGGATTTTCTAAAAACATGGTTGAAAAGGCAATCAAGAAAAATGGTTGGTTCTCCATGTTGCGTCAGTTTTTGAGTTTTTCTTCCTTTCTTATGATTATTGATATTAGCTCACACAATTGGTTTTCAGGAGAAGGAAATTCAGAAGCCATTCTAGAAACTCTGCTCACTTATTCGGTGAGTAATCATTCAACTTTTATTGACTACTTAAGTTTGCCGGTGGACATAGACAGCGTTTGGTTGATTTAGTATTTGTTGGAGCAATTCTTCTAGCTTTCAAGCTTTCAAATGTTGGGGCCATGGCCCTCATGGGTGTATGATGGAAGGCAATTCCTAGGCATGATTTTTTTACAAAGAAGAAAAATTTTCAAATAGCAGTTTTTCAATACTTTCAATACTTTGTTTGTATCATGCTGGAAATGAGTCATATTAGACATGTCTTTGCAGATAAGCTTAATTGAGGGCTTACTTTCTTTTAATTAAATTTGGAATTGCATTTGTCTTACATTTAATAAGGTTCGGCACCTTGTTTTAAATTGGAAAGTGTTCTCTTTTTCAATTTGTACAATATGTATTGCTGAGATGCTTGATTGATAAAGCGTGCTATCATAGTATGTAAATAGGAAAAATACCTTAGTAAAAGCTAAAAAATATGTGTGACTATTATTGTTGGGTATGGAAGTAAAACACCACAACGAAACAAACAAGAAAAATAGAAAAGCAGTGAAAAGTAAATGACACCAGGATTTAATGGGTAAATACTCGAAATAGGGAAAAAATCACGAAGCCGCACTACACCAAGAAATCTAACATGAAAATTGAGAGAAATAAGTACATATCTCTATTCTCTCTCACTATCTCCTTATCTTATCTTTTTTACACCATTCTCACATAAAACAAAAGAGAAAGACAAGTTAATAATACCAAGGGACACCACCCTTCAGAAAAATAAGAAAGAAAATTGTCCAATCCTCCATGAAGAGTTGCGGGGCAAGTTTGGAGTGCTGCGATGCTCAAACATCTGTCATCGGTCCATTTGACGATGCTGCGACACTCAAACCCGTAGTGCTGCGACATCACAAAGCACTGCGACACCGAATCCAAAATATTATGGCGCTTCGCTCTTTGTCGTTTCTCCGAGCAAACTCTGCAATGCCGGAGAGCTCAGGTACAAAGCGCCTTGGTGCTCGGGTATACAACGCCGGGCGGTGCACGAAAAATTATTTTCATGGTGCAAAGCACCCGAACCTAAGCAGGAGGACCCCACCGTACCCCCCAATGAGCAAGACAAATTGAATTGAAGTTCGAGGTAACTATTCAATCCAATTGATTGACACAATAAGATTCCACATGGACTAACAATTGTGATCTGATTAGATGTCTCATACTAATATAATCACACTCCCTCTAAATTTTTTTTAAAAAGAGGGTTCTAGGGGAAGATGACATATTTCAGTGTTTAAAATTGTTGTTTAACCATACAACTAAATCCAATAGGTAAAAGCTGAATTAAAACATGAGTAATAGCGAAAGTCAATAATAAGTATCAAGCGTGTGATCTAAAAAGACTCCTTTGGTCTCATGTATTGAAAATCAATGATTGAGAGAAGAAAGATAGCTTTTATAGCAAAAGTTCACCATACACCCAACTTTTTTTTACATAGGATGTTTTTGAATTCTTATAGACTTAAAACCATATTTTCAATTAATACTTCCCGTTGGGACAACACTCTTGATTAAAGATATCACTCAATCTTTATCTTCAGTTGAGTGCTTGTTTATTTAGCGAGAAATGGCTACAGGGATAGTGGAAAATCTTGCCATGATAGTTTGGTTCCATTTTCTAGGTATCCCAAAAATGAAGTTGGGAACCTTCTCCTTTTAATATTACGTCAACTGAAGAATTCATGTATTGTGACTGTTGACATAGGTAAGGAAGCTTACTATGACCATGAACATTGAGATTGCAGCCTTAAGCCTTATTTGAATACGCCCTTGTTATGATTGTTTGGTTCCCTGTTAGGAATGTGCTCCCATATGTAATGTGGCTAATGCTATGTCAATATTATTTTTCCTTAGTAAACTTAGCTCATTTTGCTGACATGGAGTTTTCACTCCAGGTATATTGCATAGCTCAAAGATATTAAGCATAACCATTGCAAATAAGTTTGGATGAGTATTGATTTACCATGAGAAGGTGGTATTCGAACATGAGTAGTTTGTTTTTTGGTGGTATAGGATTTATGGGGTTCGGAGGTTTGTCTTTAGAAGTGCATTGGCACTATAACATTTTTGTGCCAATGCATTTATAAGAAAAGGGGCTATCGGTTAAAGGAGATGACTGGTAGCAGTTTCTTTTTATAGGCCTTACTAAATAAAGGGGTAACATTGGGGGATCTTCCCATGCTATATGATACCATTTTTCGAGTTAGCTTGAACTATACTTTTTATAGATTTTAGGATCATATCTACAATGTTATATATCTTTTGTAAGGTAACTAATTAATTTAATTTTAGAGAATCATGCATGTATTTTCATCGGATTTATAGAAACTGGCCTTGAGTGGGCGTAAATGTACCTTGTATTACAATTTTCCTCTATCTTTTCTCAAAAGGTTTAGAATTACTTTTTGCTTGGCCCAGTTACTTTTAATATTTCATGCATATATTAACATCATTATAATCATTAATCTTAAGGCCCTTAATAAAACTATTAATTTCTTAAATCAGTGCCTAATGCACTTATCAATTCTATGAAGTTGGAATTACAAAGCTATAAATTGGGAATAAGCTTTGGGAATATCTAAACTACTTGTATCCCAGAGTTGATGGGTTGATATATTTACCCATTTATGTGAAATTCATGCAATTGGCCAAGTGGCGTTAAAAGAATTAGAAAGCAAATTTTAGGGTCATAGTGTAGTTAAGATATCCAATTTTCTTAGTAAACTTCAAGCATGTAATTAGTCAAGTTTGGCATATGAAACTTTAGCCACCTGTCTCCTTTAGAACATATCTATCCTAATGATAGATCTTGTGAATACCCTCAATTTGAAAAGCATCCACCCTAAGATTATATGTTCAAGTTTTCATTAGTTTCTATGAGTTCCTCTATTTGCATGCTCAAAACATAAACAATATTCATATTGTATAAAATAATTGAAGTATTTTTTTTTTAAATTTTGTTTGGAGGATAATGATGTTACATAATTATTAATTTGGTGGGAAGAATGAAAATTGTTGGATAATCAAATCAACTTTTGGCTTAGGTCGAGAACAAATCAAAGTCACCTAGCATCTAGATGAGCTGTGCTTGACTTGAATCAAAATTATATTAATTTGACATTTGATTGAATTGTATATGCAAGTTTGTTTGAGAGCAAGCGTACATCATATTTGTAGTTACGCATATATATTTGTAGGTTCTATATAGGTATGGATGCATTTTTGTATGTTGGGCTAGGATTTATCTTGTTAGAGCAAAATCAATCAAAATTAAATAAAAAATTCACTCGCATCTAGCTAGAATCAAAAGTAAAATGGTAAACTTAGCTCAAAGCAAGATTGGATCGAGTCATTGTATAATTAAGTTTGGCTTGGATAGAGATAAGATAGAAATGGGTTTAAGCCGATCATGTGATAGGTTCAATTTATTTCATATCGAGTAGTCAATGGCCTAAATAATAACCTAAAGACATTTCAAAAGTAGAATGTGTTTTGCGTTGTCATATTTTAGAATTGGCTACATTGAACCAAATTTTTTGGGATATTAATGATATTGAGGATGATATTTATAATGTCATTTTATCAATCTACATCTTAACTCTAGTTGACAAAATTATAGTAGTTAAAAACAAACAAAGAATATCTTTTCAAAATTTTGCAAGTGGCCAATCATATCTTTTCCATGTAAAACTGATACAACAGGAGAGGGGATAGGAGGACTGTCCAGCAAGGACCAACCCAACCAATCGTCGGTTTAGCAAGGGTTGAACCAGCCCCTTGGCTGGGTGGAACCAGAGGAAAGTTCGGCCCTCCTTGTTGGGCCCTACAAAGCTTTAATTCATTATATAAGGAGGCGGAATCAAGTGAAAGTTATTTAGGAAAGTTTTTTTTATAGTTTGGAGGGAATTATTTAGGAAAATAGTTCCAATTTTGAATTCAAATATGAGAGGGAACTAATTAAGGAAAGATGATTGATTTGGGAGGGAGTTAATTTAAGGAAAGGGGGATGATTTGGGAGGGAAGTAGGAGAGCCTATTTAGGGCTAACTATGTTATTATTTTTTATGTTGCAATTTATTTTTGTTGTAGCTTTTACTTAGTGAGTTTTCTAGTGGCACCTAGGATTTGTGGGAGAGCCGATCTAACTCTCAAATTGTAAATCAATTGTATCCTTCATTATTGTTGAAGTATTAATCAAAATCAGCCCATATCTTCAAGTTTCTATAGTTTTTACTTATTAACTTGTTGTTTTTACTTCAAAAATGCATCAAAGTAAGACTTCCAAAATGCATCAAACGCTTACTGCTCCTAAAACCTTGTTTCAAGTCATTAAGCACTCAAAATGCCATCCTTGGTTTTTCTTTACATTTCATGTAGTATTTATAAGTCTCAATATCTTCTAGAATAAATATTTAATAAAATTAAAATATACCTCCCTAAAGCTTGACTAAACCTCCAACAACTAGCTTAAAACCCGCCGAAAACTAATTTGAAGCTAGTTGGGGTGTGTATGAGTTTTGGCAAATCTAGTGCGATGGAAGGAAATTCAAATATTCAGAAATTTACTTTTCAACATAATATATAGGTAAATTATATGATATTAGATATCAACATGCATCTAAATAAATCAATGAATCTATGGTAATGAAAAATAGTTACCTATATAATCTTGCTTAACTAATCAAACAAATTAATATATGATAAATTAAATTTGCTAGCATGGTAAGCATTTAATTAAAGAAAAGTAATGATATTGTAAGTAAGCTTGTTTTTTTAATTAGATACTTAATGATATAATTGAGGTAATTAAGCCTAAAAGTTAAATTCATTGCATATAATTAACATTTTCTAATTATTAAAACTTGTTGACATACATATGTGAACGACATTATAGTGATGAGCCACTTAAATGCATGTTCACAAAATATAATAATCATTAAAATGATTTTCAAATATAAGAACTTTAATGCCCAAATATATAAACCACCACTTGAATGCTTGTTATCTTCTAATGTTATTCCTTGATAATTGCTAATATTACATTATTTAAATTTAAAATTATGTTTTATGCAAAAATCCTACTCCAATGCACCGTACTTTGAATAAATTTTGAGCATCTTTATAACCAATACAAAAATAAATAGACTCAATTTTGATCATGATACAATCATACTATTATTGAAAACTCTTTGATCACTTTATGACTATTACTAGTCATGCTCTATCATACTTACTCAAGCATACTTTTGACATACCCCTTTTTGATTTAATGCACACCAAATTAATTCTCAAGTAATTGAGCATATGCCTTCTCAAGATCAATTAAAAGTATATGAAGATTCTTTATGTACTCTATTTTTTCTGTAAATTCTGATTATGCAAAAATTACTTACATGATTGATTTTTTATTTTTTTGCATAAAACCAACTTAAGTCACTGAAATTGATGTAGTTTTTCAAACCTATGCTCTACTATTATTTCCCAGATATTCATTGTGTGGCTCATAGGTTTGATAACACTACAGTTCACACAATTTTGAACACATGCTTATTCGTAAATTTTGATACCAAAGTATTTATCCTAATCTTTTCTTTGTCAAACTTCCAATGAAGATATTTATTAACTATATAGCTGCAATATCTCCAATTATTCTCCAAATTTTGATAGGTATATTATATGGATTTTATTAGGTATATTACTAACTAAAGCCTTATCTTCTTGCATCTTCTTGAGAGTTAACTACACTCAACTTTTTTAATCTATAATTTATAATACACCAACACAAACACGAAAATTGGAAGATGACAAAATATGAATGTCAAAAACACCTATTATTGAGAATATTATACGAACATACTTTTGACATGATATTATCATTTATCTTTCATTAATAATTATTTTAATTTAATTTATCCAAATGCTATAAAAAATACAACTTAATATAATCTAACGACCAATCCTCTAACTCAACTTTATGAATTTCATTACATTTTAATTGGATACAAAGATGTGTCCCTTTTAATTATTTGAAGAATAAATAAACTTTAAAAATATATATAACTTATCTTGTTCTCATGGAGAGAGAGGGGCGTGTGGCGGGCCTAATGCGAGGGAGGTAGAGATTGTTCTTGTGATAGTGCAGACACACATATTTGATATCTTTTTTTCATTTTTTATGTCGTGCTCGATATGTGGAAGAAGTGTGTCATTTGTGTCGGAGTTCTGAAGTGTCGTTTACTAAATAGTGCTTTCTAATGGAGTGTCAGTTATTCATAGTCTTTAATATATCTCATTCTATTGTTTATTATGTTCTTTTAAAATAATTATTTCCTTAAAACTTTTTATTAATAATTTCTTAAAATAACATTTTTATCTTTCTATAATGCATCATCGAAGGAAGGCCTAAATGCTGGTCTCTCGTTCGTTTTCTGAAAAACTCTTATGCAGAAAAGATATCTGTTTTCTCCCCATGTTATACTTTTATCACTATGGCTTTATTTTTAGCTTATATATATTATAGTGGGGACCTTTTCTTGTTCAGGTGCAAGCAAGTATTTTTTTTCTCTTGTTGCGTGAGTTTTTCTAGTTCAAATGATAGTACTCATTGTCTCATTGTGTTGTAGTACTCAGTTTCACTTATTCAGTTTAGTATTGATGTGAGCTTTTTTAAAATGTGATCATTTGTCGTTGAGAGTTTTGCTTCTTCATTATTAACCATTGTTTTATCAAACTTTAGCAATATACTTGGACAAGATCAATGCAGTCATAAGAGAAAGTACTAGTTTAGTTGATCTTATTTTGCTCTAATTTGTGATTTTCATTTTTTTTCATGCTGAAGACTTCAAACTTTTGGTGTGGTTTATGATTTCAAGGGCTACATCTGCTTCTGTTGTTTTTTGCAGGCTACTGAAAATCCTTATTTAAAAAATGAGGATGGTCCGATTGATTCAATAGCTAGTAATTACGTGGATGGCCTAGAGGATGATTCTTCTGATACAGATGACTTTGATGATCTAGTAATTTACTATGATTGTATACTGAAAATGTAGCAGATGTGTAGCTTACTTGTGCACTTTTTTGTATCTCTGCTATCGTAAACATTGTTGTGTCCTGGGCCAGTGCCAATTTTTCTTATTATTGATGCTGATCATCTATATTTTGCGTATAATAATGGGTTTTTTTTCATGATTTTTTAAAAGTCTTGAACTACAATGAACATGATCTTCTTATATACATTATTTGTCTTTTGTTATTTTAATGTACATGCAAATATTAGAAATGTCCTTTCTTTGTTAGATGTAAATGAGAATTTGACTTTTAACAGAACACAATGGAGAAAAATGATTCATGTAGCTTGTTGTGTCCTGGAGTATTCGCGGCGGTAGAGAAATATATAGTTTAACATCTAAGCATTGTACGAAGATCTAACACACAAGCAGATAAGTGAGAGAGGGTGTAGCATTTGTAAGAGACACCAGAGTTTTTATATGGAAACCCCTGAAAAAGGGGGAAAAACCACGGGGCCTGGCCCAATTTGAATAAATCCACTAGTATTTGCAGTCGATTACAAATGAGGCCCTTCTTAGGGAGAAGGCCTTGCCTTAATGTTACAAATGTACGTCATATAGAGCGCATTACATGGAGGGAGTTACAATAATCAGCATTGACATGTTTGTTTGGTTGGAAGGGTCATTGTCGACAAGAGATAGAGGTCAGAAGGACCGTAGTCAGTAGGAGACTGGGGTCAGAAAGACAGTTGTCTGTTAATGGAGGTAGGAAGGACTAGTAGGCGACGAAGGTTAGAAGGACCGTAGTAGGCAGGAGACCGGATCAGAAAGATCGTTGTCTGTTGATGGAGGTCGGAGTGACTGTAATAGGCATCAGAGGTCAGGACGACCGTAGTCGGCAGGAGACCAGGGTCTGAAAGACGGTTGTTTGTTGATGGAGGTCGGAGTGACCGTAGTAGGAGACAGAGGTCAGGATGACAGTAGTCGGTAGGAGACAAGGGTCTGAAAGACCATTGTTGGCAGAAGAACAGGGTCTGAAAGACCGTTGTCTGGTGATAGCCTAGTGGAGGTCAGGAGGACCGTAGTTGGCAGGAGACCAGGGTCTGAAAGACCGTTGTTTGTAGGAGACGGATCTGAAAGACTGTAGTAGGAGGGCGATACGTCTATAGAAGTTTGGGTGTCAGGTGGTGGCCTAGTGGAGCTCAGGGCCTTGAGTGGTGGTTCGGAGGAAGTCCGGGCCTCAGGTGGTGGATCGGCGGAGCAACGGCGTCAGGCGGTGGTCCGGCGGAGTTGAGGGCCTTAAGTGGTGGTCCGGCGGAGCAACGGCGCCAGGCGGTGGTTCGGCGGAGGTGAGGGCCTCAAGTGGTGGTTAGACGGAGCAACGACATCAGGCGGTGGTCCGGCGGAGGCGAGGGCCTTAAGTGTTTAGACATTTGAAGACCTTAATGATGTCGGAATTTGGTGATCTTGGGCTCGTTGGATTCGTCTCGTCGAGCCGCTCGATTCGAGTATAAGCTTGTTATGTTTGGAAACCGTTTGGTAATCCAATTTGTGGTTTGAACCCTCCAACATCGCTTCGGGTCCTTGATTTGGATCCATTTGGGCTCGGATTGAGTCAAATTTGGTGTCGTTGGGTTTGTATTTCCAAGACGCTCAGTTCGACTGTAAGTTTGTTGAAATCGGAGTTCGGATGGTATCCGAAATAATTTTTGAAGTTTCCAACTTGATTTTGCATCGAGATTCGCGTCCGTTTAAGATAATTTTTTGACGACGTATCATAGCTGATCCCACATAGTGGGATAAAGACTTGATGTTGTTGTTGTACATGCAAGTTATGCATGTAACTGCAAAATTTTATACTTCGTTGCCTCACTTGTCTGCTCTTTTTTGCTTTGCTTTATGCATGCATTGTGCTGTCTCATTGGATTAGAAATGGATGCATGTCACATTTTTGACAAATGTTTGGTTAACCATGAATTTTATATGTACCTTTAAGTGGATCAAAAAGCCCAAGCCCATGAAATATAAAGTAGATTGATTGAACTAATATAGATGTAGCTGAGGGAATGTAACCTAAATATGTGTCTCCATGGAAGAGTCAAAATTGAGAGATCATTTTAACATCCATATTAAATAGCCACTGATAGTTTTTAACATCCATATTAAATAGCCACTGATAGTTAAATCACTAGGAGAAAACGCCTAGTGTAACTTGCTTCTAAGAATAGTCTTATGATGAGATGATGAGGGTCAATGAGCCCAATAGAATGGTCAACAACCAATTACAAAGCTAAGATGAATATGTGAATAACCTCTAGGTTGGGGCGTTGTTATGAGAGTTTACCTACAAAAGGATATAAAAGTGTCCTAGCATGCATTGAGATCTCATCTTTAGTGAAAATGAGCTCAAGTTTATCTTGATATATGGGTAATTGCTTATGCTGAGGAGTATTTGAATCTTGATTAAAAAAATTAAGGTAGAGGTTAAATGGAGAGGAATGCAATCCACCAACAGTCTTGGCAAAGGAGAAAAAAGGGAAAGGCAAGCGGAGACGTTGGTATTGAAGGTGTGAAAGTAGGATGAAGAGCCTCCACAGAGAGATGAGTCACTGGAATGGCTGGCGATTATGAAGATCTAATTGGGGGTTTAATTGAAACCCTACGGGCAACCAATATTGGAGAAAGAAGTGATGTAATCCTCTAAAAAGCCGACAATATGGGAGGAAAGGCGATAGGAAACTCCAAATTGAATTTCAGAATGGTTTATGATTAAAAAAATAAGAAAGTGGTATAGTCTAACATTAGATTCGATAGGAAGAAAAAAAATTATGGTTTATGATACAAAAGAAGGCAATAAGAGGTTTGTCTAAGATATATAAGAGAGATGACAAAAAAAAGAAGAAGAGTTGTCTAAGATACATAGAGAATTTATCTCGAAAGTCTTAATTGAATGCGTGAAGAATAAGATGCCAATGTCGTGAGGCATCGACACTAGAGAGCAAGTGAGAGCGCACAACGCTTGCAACCCTAGTGGAAGAGTCATAGATGAGATGCTGAGAATAAATATAGCGTGGGCATAATACGAAGGGTGAGAATCCACGGATAAATTGTGTGCATGCCACACACGAGCTTGAAGGTGAGTTGCGAGCTGCTCACAACAATAAGGTAGAGTTGAGCGAGTTTAACTTGTGAAGTTGAGATCTGTGGAGAATCCTAATAAGGTCAAGATTGGCTCCATTTCGCAATAATGTACATCACTTCATCTCTTTTGATTTGGTATTGATAGAGTCTTAGATTTGGCGACCTATGTGTTCTTTTATCTCTTAATTGTGATATCAGTGGCAGGAACATCCTTGTTCTATTTTTCTCTTTAATGGTAGTATAGGAGTAGGAACTCTCTTCTTTTCCTTTATTCCAAGTGCACAATTTAATTTTTTTATCTAATTGAGGCAGACCTAACCTCTCCTCTTGTTCTCGAGGAAAGCACTCTCATTGAACGAAGACTCCCTTTGAGGAATCACTATTCTCCCTTAGAGTAATTTGGTTTCCAAATATTAGAATATTGCAAGGGAATTCTTGTCACACCTCAATATCAATTTTTGAAGAATTACCTATTTTAATCTCTAATTGAACTACCCAAGCTACTAATAACCTATCAATATAATTCAGTCTATTGAAAATAATTAATAATCATATTCATTAAAATGTAAAATTATGCTCGTTCATCAAAATTCGTGTAAATAATCAGGAGTTCTATCAATACCATGTGATTTTTAACCCCCCCCCCACACACACACACGCCCCCTATATGCCTTTTTATATGTTTATCAATCATATCACATACATGTATCAATCATGTCCTATATCATGTATAGATCATATCATGTCATGTCATATGTGCAATTTATCATATACGCTCCTATTATATGCATATGCAAAAAGTATATCAATATAAGCAATATATGATATGTGGCAACCTATGGTGTTTTTTCTAGTATCCAATCTTGTAGGTCAATTCTATAAGAATCGGTCTCAATCATATCAGTCATGTTTCCATAATTCAGTTTCATATCACATATCACAAGTCAGTCACGTGGCTTTCATGTAAGAAGTCGTTACTTTCCGCCCGTCGGCATATTGTATCATATCAATTAATCTCTTTATACCTCCCTTTTTATATCATTATGATTACACCACAAACCTTTCACTTTAAAGAAAGCTCGCCGGTCCACCCTTCGGTACATGGTAACATGTTTCCAACCAACTTTAATTAATCAACAATTTTTAGGCAGTCTTTCTTTCTCATTTTCACACATCACATTGTATAGAGCATAATAATGAACATCATATGAACATTCTATGCAATTATCAATACGCTAATTAGGATACCTCTAGTATGACAAAAATACATGTTGACCTAAATGAATGATAAATGAGTTCATGTCGTATATTTTATGTCTAAATGCAGTACACCATTTCATGATCATTTTATAATTAACATTATACTATCTATTTCAATTAAAACAATATATAACAATAATCACCTAGTGAAATTTTAATATCAACTAACCAAAATACTCTGAGGATGTTATCTACCTCATATCAAAAGTTGTACGGTGGAAAATGATTAAAATGAGAGAGAATGCATTTTAATCACTTTTAAGATATAAAATCCGAGGAATCGAAACAATGAAAGCATAAGTCAAATTAATGTTACCTATCACGATCACAAGATATTTCCTAACTGGAGCAACGAACAAAAAATGACCCGAAGCAAATTTTCTCTCTCTATTCTCTCTACCCCTTCTCTCCTCTTTCTTCTCTTACCCGACCATGCATGAAAAGGATGAGAATGACTGAGTGGATAAATTTTATTAAAAAAATATTTTTTAGTGTTAAGCTCCACGGTGCTTCCATGACTCAGTGTCGCAGTGCTGAATTATTTTTCAAAAATTCCATGTGCTCAGCGTCACTGCGGTGCTTTCCCTGAACCTTTCAGTGCCGCAACAGTTCATTTTAGAATTTTCAAATTTTCTAGATTTTCATTTTAAAATTATTTACAATATTGTCAGGTCATTACAATTTCTTTGGAGTTTTGAACTTTGTTTGCTCCTATTCTTGAGTGCTGCCATTAAATTTCTTTTCAAATCTTGATCTTGAACTTATTTCCCAAATTTTTTCATGCTTAATCTTTAGATAGATTTTCAGTAATTTGTGCATATAATTTGTTCTAGGGTTTTATAGTCATTTTTCATTTATAGTGTGGTTGGGTTAGCTTCTATTGCCTGTATTAGTTGGCTAATTGACTCACTTTTCCCCAAATTTAGTCTAACCAATTTGGATCAAACAAACTCTCTTGGGTTTGGAGCAAATGGCTGGTCCTGGAATTCTAATCATGCTGTCTTTTTTTTTTTTCATGCTCAAGAATTTTTTTGTTTGTTATTTATTTCACTAGTCTTTGTAACCGTTTGTTGCAATCAATTAATCTTCATAAATTATGTTAATTTAAAACTTGATATTAGATATTGGCTTATGGCTGACGACTTGGGGTTATTGTTGCGTTGTCATGATAGGATAAATATGCCATGTTTTATGACTATAGTGACTGCATGATAACAATGCAGTTTTTCATTTTTTATCTGTTAGCCATAATGTATATAATGTTATACATCACAGCAAATTTAGAGGCTTTACGGATATGCATAACTTTAATGAAGTTTCTCCTTTGAAAACTGTTGTACAGGAGTTCATAGAGGCTCCCCCAGGGAGAGACAGAAATTTGTTGACCCTGGTAGAAATGGGCTTTTCGGCAGAGGAAGCATCTGCGGCTAGAGACCGATGTGGTATTATTTCTTGTCTAGTTGATGAGAATACATCTTACCATGTCGTATGTGCAATCTTTTAATATTTGCAATAGTTTTGGGGTCTAAAACTTCAAATTTGGATTCATATAGCTAAACCCTAAACAAATTGGATAAGTTGGTCATGATGACAACTTAGTATCAAGATGTCTCCATTTTTCCCTCTCGCGATTGTTATCATAATAAATAAATAAATATATTTCTTTGTATTAAACAAAGCATCAGGAGATACACTAAAGATAATGATGTTTTTTAAGTTTCTTGCCATCTGATCTATTATTTTTGCTCCAACTCTTCATTCTATTTCATATTATTTCTATCTATTAAGTGACCGTGCCAGCTTGATGTAGGTATATTTGTTTGTATACCTAGGTAATCAATGTCGAAATTAAAAAGTATTAAGATTCTCTATTTTTTTCACATATACTTTTGTTCTCTTTATGCACCACATTTATTTAATAATTTATTTATAATTCTATGATTCATCCAATGGGATATATTTTGATAAAATATCGAGAATCTTGCATGCAATTTTAACAAATAATATGAGTGGAGATGCAATCATAATTTATAGAGTTAAAATTGAATGCCAAACGAAGTTGCCTAAGGTGCTCTATGAGATTAGAGAATGCCATAGATATTAAATGCAAAGTAACAAAATTTTAATTTGATCTCCTAGGCTACATAAATATTTCAGTTGGTTACAAAAAAAACACAAATTGATAAAATCAAATGTTAACGATCAATTTGTCCAATAACCAGGAAGGATAACCTGATTTAGTTCAATTGTGGTAAAATTAGTAGGAAATAATTAAATTAACTGATGGTGAGAGTAGAATCCCGTGAAGATCATGTGGTAAAAAGCAGAAGTTTAGTGGTTGAGCAGGGACAGTAGCAGATGATGCAAGTAAGGTGAGGCGAAAGTAAATGTGAAAGGAGTATTAAAAAGAATGGGTTGATCAAAAGACCAAATGCAAAATGCCGAAGTGTGCAGAAAGAATTGTTTAAATTAGAACTAAAACCATATGTAGTACTCAACATGAATGTTTATTGAATAGGATGCATTAAGTTAACTTCAAGTTACTGATTTAAGGCTAATAATGGTTCTTTTGTTGGGGATGGAAGTAAAAACACCGCAGCGAAACAATAAAGAAAATAAAAAGTAAAGGATACCATGATTTAACATGAAAAAATCCAAAATAGCGAAGAAAATCACGGAGCCACACCACACACCAAGAAATCAACTATGAAAATGGGGAGAAATAAGCATAGATTTCTCTTCTCTCTTGCTTTGTACTTGCTACTCTTCTCTCTTACACCTCACTATTCTCCTGCTCTAATTACTCACAATACAAGAGAAAGTCAAGTTAATAACTCCAAGGTAAGCAATCTTTGAGGAAAAAATGAGAAAGAAAATTGTCCAGTCCGCCTCGAAGAGTTGCAGTGTTAGTTTTGAGCGTTGCAGCGCTCAAGCCTCTATCATTATGATGTTGTAGCGCTCAAACTCTCAGCTCTGCGACGCTGAATCTAGAGCATTGTTGCGTTCTGCTCTCAATCGATTAGCGCTGGGGCGCTCGTGTACACAACGCCGGGGTGTTGTACCAAAAAAAAAATTCCGGTTGCAAAGCAGTTGAACCCAAGTAGGGGGTCCGCACCCCTCAGCGAGCACTAGAAAATGGCTCGAGTTCCAAGGCAATAATACAATGATTTATCAACACAACCAGATTCCACACAAAACTAACATCTTTGACCCATGCAGGACTGGATGCTTCAGTTTTGGAGCTTGCAGATTCAATCCATGCTGCTCATATGGCCAAGGATTCTCGTGGAATAGTTTTGGGATCTCCAATGATAAATAAGGTAATCGGAAGGTCCATAATTTGTTTTTTTCGTTTTTTTTTGTGTTGCCGTCCTAATTTTCGGGTGATGTTAGAACAGCATTTTAAGTCTTTGGAAAACTAGTACTGTTACTGATTTATTCTTCTCAGCCAAACGAAGCCACTTTTTACAGCACCAGCAGGAAGAAGAGGATACTTATGGAAGAAAAATGCAAGCACAAAAGGAACCGTCACCAAGGAAGTCGAAGAAGCGAATTTTTGAAGAAGGCTGCTTTGGATGTTGATATTCCAAAGCCAATGATCGGTTTTAGCCTTCCATTTCAGAACCGCATCAAACGTAGAAATCTCCCGGACTCTGCTCTTGGCCCCCCATATTTCTATTATGAGAATGTCGCTCTTGCTCCTAAGGGCGTTTGGGATACTATCTCACGCTTCCTGTACAATATAGAGCCCGAGTTTGTAGATTCAAAGTATTTCTGTGCTGCCATGAGAAAGAGAGCATACATCCACAATCTCCCCATTGAGAATAGATTTCCACTTCTTCCTCTCCCCAAAAAGACGATACAGGAAGCATTGCCCACCACAAAGAAATGGTGGCCTGAATGGGATAACAGAGCCCAGCTTAATTGCTTGCAGACCTGCACTGCTAGTGCTAAGTTGACTGAGAAGATCAGAAAGGCTTTGGATGATTCCGGTGATGTACCCTCACTAAGAGTTCAGGAGTACGTTCTTGCTCAATGTAAGAAGTGGAACCTCGTCTGGGTTGGGCACCACAAAGCTGCACCATTGGAACCAGATGAAATAGAAATGTTGCTTCGGTTCCCAAAAAATCATACTAGAGGTGGAGGCATTGGCAGGACTGAGAGGTTCAAATCGTTAGGAAATTCATTCCAGATTGATACTGTCGCTTACCACCTTTCAGTGCTGAAGAACATTTTTCCTGATGGGATTAATGTACTCTCTCTCTTTTCCGGCATTGGCGGAGCTGAAGTGGCTCTCCACAGCTTAGGTATCCGCCTGAAGGCGGTTGTTTCCGTTGAGATATCGGAGGTTAATAGAAACATAATAAGGTGTTGGTGGGAACAGACGAACCAAAAGGGTACTTTGATAGAAGTTGATGATGTTCAGAAGCTAGATGGTGGTAACCTTGAAGAGTTTATGCGGAGAATTGGTGGGTTTGATCTGGTTATTGGCGGAAGCCCCTGCAACAACCTTACCGGCAGCAACCGTCACAGCCGGGATGGCCTTGAAGGTAAAGATTCTTCTCTCTTTTATGATTTCTTTCGTATCCTCGACCTCGTCAAATGTATCATGGGGAAGAAATTTTGACCGCAGTGGGAACAAGTTCGTAATCATACTATCCTTTTTCCACCACCACATATATCGTTCATCCCTGAAATAATTTATCCTGCATTTCTTCGTTTCGGTTAGAACGACTTGGGAAACTTAACTTAAACTAAACTAACCTATGTAGGGCTTATCCAAAAAACCACACGGCCTGTTACATATATTTAGATTTTGTTTGTTAGGGTAGTACTTCTAGTTTTAAGTTAGGTCGGTGTTTTTTTTTTCCTCTTTCTGGTGATGTAACGAGGCGACTTGCATGTGGCAGGCGTCGATGTTCTAGAAAAAGTTTGTTTTAGAGTTGTTGTCAAGAAAATGCAGTTGAAGAAATAACATTTTATATAATGGAGTTATTATATAATATTATTTGATTAAATTACTTTTTGTGTGCTTATTCAAAGTTTAAGGTTTGGTTTGGTTCTTCCTCTCTTTTTGTAAAAGGCTGTTTTAGAAATTTTGGTCAAGAGAATGGAGTTTTCTAATTAAGAAGCAAATGTAAAAAAAGCTTCTCAAAACAGTAGAAAAATAAAGTTCCCTAAAAAAATGTTTATAAAAGCATTCCATCCAAATAGCAACCAAAAAATAATTTCGTCATTTCAAAAAAAAAAAAGTTAAAAAACACTGAAACAGATGAGGCCTAAATTAGATAATTAGTATTTAATGCAATTAACATTTTTTTTTTTTTCACAACAAAACTGAACTATTGTTGTTCCATGCTTTACTTTGGAGTAACTCACACTTCCAGTATTTCAATTTTCTTATATTATACATATATCATCAATCATTTACTATTATATTTCTACTAGCTCTACTAATTATTATTTATTTTATATTTAAATATAAATAAACTTTAAGCTAAATGTAGTACTTATTACAAATGTATATTTGAATTGCAATAGTCCCTCTAACTTCAACCATATCGTTCGCACCTTCGCCATTAAGCAACTCTACAAAATAATTCGTACTTCCTAGGAGTTGAACTTCTTCTTCAAGTCGGAACTCATGTGTCTCTAGATGAACAAAATTTTCATCGGCATCAAATTACTCAAATTCAGAATCAATCCTTGAGTGATGTCTTCTTATGTAGTTATGTAGTGCCATTGTAGCCGCTACAATAAGCCATTATTTTTTTAAAAGAATAGTTCGGCATATCTCGTAAAATTCTCCATTTCTTTTTCCATACACCAAATGCCTGTTCTATTACACTTCTTAATGAAGAATGTCTCATGTTAAACATCTCGTGATATTTAAATGCGAATAAGATTCTGAAGAGTAGGATAAGTTCTGGGAATACCATGATCGTATTGATCAACTTAAAATATGGAAGTTAATCGTTGTAGTTACGTTGCGAATCGAGCAGGGGTGGAGGCGACGATACAGTGAAGAACTTATGCAGATTTGCAACCTAAAAGGAACAAAAAATCGGCTGGGGTTTGATCGGAGGCTACTAGAGGAGCAGATCACTTTGCAGAAGCCACTAAAACGTGTTTAAGAAAAACAATTTTATCAAACAAATAATTTTCCTTTGCTTTACTGTTGACGTACTGAAAAAGCTGTAGAAATAGACAAACAAATGAGCCCTTATAGTTAACTTGGTAGTTTTGTAGTTTGTAGAATGGTTCGAAATACAATTATATATGATGCTGGTTAAAAGTTTAAAATGTGTCTCGTGAAGTTAATTTAGTGAAACCGGTTATGCTTTAAAAGTTAAAAGTCCAAAACTATAATGTTATAAAATTATAGCCTCGTTTGGTAGCAGGAGTTTTGGCGAGAAATTTACTGTTACCAACGAAGAAGCAAAAATAAAAAGTTTCACAAATGGATACTATAATAGAGATTTGAAAAATATAGTTTTCTAAAAGATATTCATCCAAACAGTAACCGACATCTTTTTTTCGCGTTTCAGAACTGAAACGACACTAATTTCGCCAGACAAAACCAAGCATATATAAGCCTTGCTTGACGTCTTTATCTATGAGCGGCACATGGATGTTTTTTTGCTATAACGTCGACCAAACTTTTGTCGAAATTCAGCAGTTATTGTTAAACCTAAATAAAAGCAGTAAAAATCAAGAAGACTCGAAACAAGAAAAACTCTCACCAAAATTGGCACATTTCAATTTGAAGATTATCAAAAATATTGACGCGGCTTAAGAAAATTAAGTCATTCATGAACTTGGATGCATTACATGTGAAAGCTTTGAAAATAATTTAGGATCAATTAAGTTTGATTTTAGTAAACTTGTAGTCTAAATTAATGTCTTAACAAGATGAACCTAATGATATCAAATGCTATACAAACTGAAGTCTAATGAGACCAAATTAGACACTTGAAGTATGATTAAAATTTTTAAGGTTTCAATTGGAAGATAAAATGATTTTTAAATATTACATGCTTATAGTCAAATTGAGTATCTTGATGAGCCAATTCTTATAAACCCAAGATTAATGGATTATGAGGGTTTTAATATATGTATATGTTGAATAAATGAATTATGATCAAATTATTTAATTTGAATCATTGGAGTTATCAAAATGGTATTTTCAAAAAACTGTAAATAGATTCACATTCATTACATGAATTGACTTTAACTTGAGTTTAGAGAAAACTTTGAGATCTAAAGAAATATAGAGCTTTACCTAACATATGATGCTGATAATCACAATTATTTACTATTGTCGTTCAATTGTCATTATATGTTTTCTTCATTTGACCATATTCACTTAGCCATCACATTCGACTTGCCATTTAAACAAAGTAGTGTCAATTGATCACAGTCGCCAAACTACCATTATCCAAGCATCATCATCCGACCACCATTAACTACTATCATTTCATCATAGTTTATGTGACTCTTGTTGCCCAAATGACATAACCCAATCATTGTTGCCTAACAACATTATACCAATTGAAGGAAATGGGGTCTTAAGTCATGGTATATAGTGACATTTATTCTGAAGTACTCCAAGAATCAAATATGTATAAGATCAAATATAATATTATCTAATGAATTAGTAAAATAAATTAATAATTATAATGATACTTATATGCTCTTAATACTCATAATTAGAAGTTGTACAAAATCATTTATATAACTAGGAAACTTTTGCATAACAAAAGTCATTACAATTTTATTAAACTCATTAACTAAGAAATCTCTTATGGTCCCGGTCTAGTTTATAGATGATAATTTATCTATATTATTTGTAATAGAATTGAGCTTTCTTGGGATATTGTAGTTATTAAGGGGAAAAATAATTTTGACAATAAAATATGATAAATATTTTTAACATAATGAAATGGTTAGTTGATCTATTGATTTATATCATTTCACTTTCAATATCCATTGATCTATATCCTATAAGTGGATCGCTCTACCCGCAGATTTCAACACCTCTATTTGGCAATCTTGTAAGCAGAGCAACTTTATATGAGGTGGACTTTATCTGATGACCCTTGATGATAAAACATTGTTGAGGAAATATCCCATAATTTGAGCAGCTCGAATATCGGTTGAACATTCTACTAGAACGGTGGGAACTTAAAAATTTGATAGAAATTTATTGTCTTCAAGGTGCTCTCGGCATCGTTATCTATTATTTCCATGAGTGAATAACAAATAGTTAGTTCTAAAACTTAATGTATAACAATGATAAATGATAGGGCAAACATACATCTGCAGACATCGGAGAAAAAAACACACAGTGAATACATAGTAAATATATAGATAAAAATACGTAGTAAATATGCAGTGAATACGCAGTAAATATACAGAGAAAAACACACAAAAAATATGAAAAAAAATTGCAGTTCATACACAGTTCGAAAAAGATACTTAAAAAAAAAAAACTCATAGAAATTTGAAAATTGTGCAACATAATTTTGGAAATGAAAGACAATCGATACTAGTGAATACATAGTAAATATACAGTTAATACATAATTAAAAAAAGATGCACAATAAATCCATAATAATAATTTCTTATTTTTTGAAAGGTAACGGGCTAACTTATAAAACAAAAATCAAATACCTTAACCTTAAAAATTCTAATCGTTAAATCCTAAAACCCATTTTGAGAGATAAGTCAAAAAGCATCTATTTGAAGATGAATTGAACGAGAATGATAGACTAACCTTGTTGATGAATGATGAACTTAACGCCTGAATGCTGTTGAACAATGAGTCCTTTGGAATGTTGAAGCTGAAAGTGAATATTGAATGTAGAAGATAAAAAATGGATGCGAGGATACAAAGTGAATATGTTATGAGATTTTTGATCTCTCACAAATTTATAATTTTTAGGATTCGGAGTGACAAGATACAACTAAAATAGAAAATTCATATTAAATGTTAAAATATTAAATCCACGTGTTAAGATTTTATTAGAAGCCGGAAGTCAGCTGAGCTACCCACGCTACAGGGTTGGCTACAGCATTCCAAAGCCCTTCTTCCCGTCCCCGATTTCTTGTCCAATACAATTGTCATCGCTGCAGCCCTGCAGGGCTTCGCCGATTTCCATATCGGCGGCGACGGCGCCATCAGTCGGTATGATACGAACCTCGAACGTTTGCATGTTTCTTTCCCTTTTCTTTTGTTCTTGTCGGCCACTATACTTTTCGTGTCTCTGGAAGGGTTTTGACGCGACTTGCGGTGAGGCGGCTGATTTTAGGGCAGGACTTTAAAGTTTGGGAGACTCATTAGAAAACTTATTCTCTACAGACTCAGCAAAACCTGGGTGGTTACATACTTCCAATGCCACGGTACATATTTTTTTGTTTTGTTTTGGCTGCTTTTCTATTCGAGTTCTGATACGCAGTAGTTTATTTTCTTCTTTGGTTTTCTTGATTTTCTTTTTTTTTTAAATGAAAAATGCTAAATTTGCGTGCAAGAAGTTCTTGCTTCAGAGCATTGTTGTAGTTAGAAGGATTTTATTTGGCTAATCTCGAAATGAAAACCTAATTGCATATATATTTTTTTTAAAGTCAAAGAAAGGAGAACAATGGACGAAAGATACCCTTAGATTTTAATAAAATTTTCGCCACCCTCGACTTGATTTTGTGTTTTCTTCTTGCTACAATGTGCGTTTTTCATCTGGTAAAAAAATATCAACGTTTGGTTCCGCCTATGATCATTCTTGACGTGATTCACTTGGTTATTCTGTTTTAGCGTTGACATTTTGAAATCATCGCCTCCATCTTTACGAGATTCACTTGGTTATTCTAAAATTGGTATGGGAGGGTCAGTTCATCACATCTATCATACATTTGGTGCTTTTGTATGGTCTTACAGTCTACGTACTGATGTCATGTTGATATATTTAGGCAGTTACAGTTCTTAGTGGGTGCAAATTATTAGTGTTACTTGTCGAATCTTCTCCCTGCTCAACTAGCAATTTGATGGGTGGGAAAACAATTTACGTTTTCTATGTAGAGTTGCTCACTTACTATCTTTAAATTTTAACCTTACAACGCCTTGTCAACATGTTAAACAACTTATTTCAGTGGGTTTTTTGGCTTTGTATCATAAGTTGGTTCAAACTCAAAGAAGCTGTAACCTCTGTGGAGATGGCGTGCTATGCACATTGATTCAAGATGAGTTATCTGGTAGTCTAACTATCCTTACAGGAAGGGCTAATATATTAAGAGAATATGATTTATTTTAGTGAGTTTGGTACTTTTCAGAGATACATGGTGAAATACTAGTTTTGATTAACTTTTTTGGAATGATCCTTCGATGGTTTGAATTTAATGATGACTATATTTTACCAATATCAGAGTAAAAACATGATAGTATTAATTTTTCATTAGTGACATACCTATCAAAAAATTTGATGGTTTTGGGTTTGTTTAGGAATAATTGTAGGACACATTGGTTTTAGGTGAATAATTATTGCTTTGAGGTACACTCTTTTGGTTATTCATGTCGTTATTGGATAGAATAAAAATAGCCAACTTTCATATTAGTTTGGAGGGGAGGGGAGGGTTCTTCCACCAAGAATGAATTTATGATGGTTTGTTCCATTGTTGGTTAGCACATTTCATCAAACTTGACTCAATGATTTGGGTTCATTGCATGGATTGACTCTTTTTTAATAGGAAAAAAAAAACTCTTTTTTAATAGGGACATGTTAAGGTTTTTATACTAAATATGCATGCCATAGATAGATTGTTGTAATCTAAGGTACGGGGTATCGACTCTCATTATAGTAGAGGCTTTAATTATTGTATTTATGATGTTAAAATAGTGATACAAACAAACAAATGTGGCACAAAAACTAATATTTGTCTGTATTTATGAATTTTTTGCAGGTTGTTAGATGACATCCACTCGAACTTGCGAGTTACTATCTAGCTGGTAATCGATTATAAATTATCAAGTGATCACAAATTTATTTATTTTTTGTTTGAGGGAAAATTGAGGAATTAGACCCTTATCATCATATAAAGAAACTAAACATAGACAAAGTACATGTTATGATCTCTTGTAAAATAGAGAGAAAAACTGCGCTAGTGAAAGGTAAAGATCTTGGGGTTCTTCAGAAAGTTGAGATTGTCAATAGTTTGTCATAAATCTTTGGTTATTTTGCACATTCTTGTTTTGTGTAGTTAAACTCCACAATAAACCAATCTCTCAAACGCATTCCCCTGCTTTCCCTGAGACGCTGCCCTGGAGCACTTAAAGTGTACTTAAGAGTCTTTGTATCTTGTGATCACATATTGTTAAACTTGATTATACTTTAATTTGCTTCATGGAAGATCTTCTGGGTATTGTTATTAGTATAGGAAAATATTAGAAATTTATACTCTTGAATATAAGATGGAGTGATTGGCATCTTTTTGTTTAATAGTACATTTGTAAGATTGACTTATTGTCTACAGGAAACCTTGTTATATTCTTATTTTGTACGTGATTTTTTATTATGTTAATAATTTGCCTGGGATTCTTTTTTCATAGATCTAAAAAGTAGTGACTTGAAGGAATTTTTGTTTGAATTTGCTATTATATGACATGATGTCTGTTTCTGTGTGGTTTAGAGTAGTCTTTTTCTCTACTTGGTGATTTTTTTTTTTTTGAGTTTCTACATATCTAAGAATGATTCTATAGTGGACTTAAATTTATTTCTGTTTATTGTGGATTATGTTATAAGTATGATAAAAGTAGTTATAAATTAAGCTGAACTTACTTTTACTTAACTAATTATCTAGGAAAAAAATTATGTTAGGATATCCTGATACAAAATGCATCAGGATGGGCTTGAAAGTCATTTAATTTGCCTTGGGCTTAGTGCAATCTATTCTTGTTCTAATCTCAAGGCAAATCTAATGATTTTTAAGCCCATATGGTCATATATAATTTGTATGAGGATTTAGTTACACAATTTTTTTCTCAATTATCTGTATATGGGTACCTTGCTTTCTCTATTAGATGGGAGTACCTTCTTTGTGCTATTATGTAGTCTATTTTATGAATGCATTATCATAATTGATAAATTTTATTTGCTAAGTATTTTACTTATCTTAGACTTAGCTAATACCGGTGTGAGTTGTACCAATATTTGAATCATTGTCCTTTGCATGATTTCACAACGTTTTGTTTTTACACTTCACTGTTGATTTGGAAGTTTGGTGTTCCATAATCCTTATAGTAAAACTAGTTCATTTTAGAGGTCCTCTGATTGTTTTGCAAATACTCCTAAACTTTCTAGTTAATGCCTACATAATGATTTCTTTTGTGGACAATTCTTATCCATAATTTGGATTTTTCACAATTTAGTCATCAGGATGAGCTCTCTGGAGATTATTGATTTGTGTAGCGATGATGAAGCTGAATCACAGGATATTAAAGATATTAAGCCCATCATATTATCAGCACCCTGCAAAGAAACAGCTAGCAACTCTTCAATACTTGCTTCTCGGGGTTCTTATCGGCCACCTTGCAGGCAATTTTGGAAATCTGGCGATCATGAGCTTGGGAATTCTATTGAATCATTACCTAGAAGTATATTACTTTCATATGCTAGTTTATATGACAGATTTTGTGTACCATATTAGATTGATTAATATTTTATGTGCTCCTAGATGGCAAGAACCGCTTGCGTATCCATCCCAAATTTCTCCATTCAAATGCCACTTCACATAAATGGGCTTTTGGTGGTAAGCTCAGTATATTTCTACAGTTATACAATCTTCCTAGATAATGGATGCATCATTTACATATGTATTTATCTTCTAATGCTTTCTATATTGACGTTTCCTGTTTTGGCAGCAATAGCAGAGTTACTTGATAATGCGATTGATGAGGTAATCATTAGTATACTCATTTCAGTGTGATCTTACTTGGTGGATGGGGTGGTGGTTGTTAAGGGAAGACAAAGCACACCTCTATTTATAATTTGTTGAATGATGAAGTTTACTATTCTTTCTTTTTTTCTTATGTTATGAAGAACGGATGATAAAGAGATCCATGCCATTCTGATTTATGGTGTAGGATTTGAAGTGCCAATCAGGTTTAGATGCAACAAGAGAACATATACTAGTATAAAGGTGATGTGAAACCACATACGGTGAATTAAGAATTGCACTTAAGAAATTAATAGAAGCAATGACTTTTAGCTTGCTACCAAAACTCTTTGTTTACTCAAGTTGAGTTTAAGAATAAGACATAGGTAGATTAGGCAATGACAATAAATTACATGTAGAGAGTTGAGGAGCCTCACAAAATAACACCAAAATTGAAATAATGCAAATAGCTAGAAATAATCAAAAGCCCCAAATTTAATATCTAGATCATTCACCTTGAAGTCCTTCGCTCATTTTGAAAGTGGTGGCTAGCGGAGAAAAATTGTAAGTAGACTTAGCGATGCGACTAATAGACAGGTGATCTTGAGAGGACTCGTTGCCGGGAAGGAAGCCGGGTTCGGAGGAGCGGGTGGACGGCTGTCAATGATCCACTCGGAGTCAGGACGTTGTTTGTCGATGACGTGAATGAGAGTCGGTAGGATCCGATCCAAGTAGTTCCCAACGGTATTGTTGTCGGAGTCAAATCCCGCGTTGAAAAAAGGTGATCGTTGGATGTCGAGGTTGCCGTGAGCAAACACAAGTCCCCATTCTAGCTCCAGATCCGCCATGCATCATCGCCCAGAATTAAGGTAGCGTCCGAGGAGAATAGGGGAAGGGGAAGGCTGCGGGTTGGAGTAGAGAGGGTGACTGGCGGGAAAGATAGGAAGAGTCGGCTAGGTTGGAGAGGCTAGGAAAAATCTCAGCAAGCTGAAATTATTTCAGGTTGTATTACATGGGAGGGAATAATTTGAGATTTCAAATTAATTCTAAAAGGAGAGGAGGCGGTAATGACACCTCGAGGCTGATTTTGTGGAGTTTGTGAATTAATTGGGAGAGAGAAAAATTAAAGAGGAGGTGGCCGACCCCAGTGAGAGTATAGAGGGAGCAATCAGATTTCTCATGTGGCTTCTCCTGAGGAAATCACGGGATCATTAAATCTGACATGTGAATATCAGATTTAATGTTAAAAAAAGGATTACCTAAAAGGGCTTGCTGCTAATCCCGTTGGAAGTCATCCGTTACTTGAAAAGAATTAACACAGGCCAATTTCCTAATAGAGATTGAAGTAGAATAGGAAAGAATTAAAGCCGTGACATGGAAATTCAACTTTCGAAAACAGGCGGGCGGGTTGGGGCTGCTGAGCTGGCCGGTGGGAGTCTGGCCGGCGGTGGCTGGGCTGCTGGCCGGCGGAAGGTGGGCTGGCGGGAGGCTGAGATGCTGGCCGGCGGGAGGCTGAGATGCTGGCCGGCGGGAGGCTGAGATGCTGGCCGGCGGGAGGCTGAGATGCTGGCCGGCGGGAGGCTGAGATGCTGGCCGGCGGGAGGCTGAGATGCTGGCCGGCGGGAGGCTGAGATGCTGGCCGGCGGGAGGCTGAGATGCTGGCCGGCGGGAGGCTGAGATGCTGGCCGGCGGGAGGCTGCAGCCAGGAAGTCGGCAACTTTGGGCTGTTTGGGGTAGGTGGCGGCAAGAGCAAGGGAGGGAGAAGTGGAATTCTATGAATTCGACAACTAAGAATTTACTAACCTCAAATGTCCTCACTTTGAATTTCCACAAGATTAGGTAGTACAAAAACTAGAACTCACAAAGAGATCTAGTTTTCTCCAGCGAACTCCCCAAGAGATCTTGGATAGAGGAACTCACAAAGAGAACAAGCAGTAAATTTTATTTTCCAAAAACTAACTCATTCCAATACATGATGCGTCATATAAGGAGGCCCAAAAATAAAAGCTGAAAAGACAGAAATGTCCTCTGGGCTACATAAGCAAAATAATGCCCTCAGGGGCAAACTAGGAAAACTAAAATACATATGAAATAAGTTGTAAATAAATCAGAAATAGAGGCTCTGGATCGTAGCCGTCGATCTGCGCCGCCGGCGATGATACACGTGTCGAAATCTGATGTCCCCATCATTCTCCCCAGGTGGGAGAAAACTCGACCCCGACGAGTGAGTGTCTCTAGAAGACTCGTACCACTCCAGCAAGTCTGGGTCCAATCTCTGTAGCTCATCTCGGTCGATCCACAAGTTCTCCGTCTCCTGCTTTCCTGTCCATTGAATCAAGTACCTTCGGCGACCACCGTCTCTTGTAGAAATGATCTCATCGCTAAGTACTGCCTCAATCCTCTCCGCAGTAGGTAAAGTGGGAATTTTTGGGAGTGGAGGTAGGCTGGGGATCTCACCAGGTGGGGACTCACAAGGCTCAACAAGTAATGGGTTGGGTGGGTTAAACTCTGGACCCTCATAGGTTACAAGATCTTCAATGTTAAAAGTGGAGCTAAAGTTAAAACCTTAGGGAAGGTCTAGCACATAAGCATTACTATTAATTTTAGAAATTATTTTGAAAGGGCTCGCGCTTCTCGCGTGTAATTTCTTAACGGTCCCTTGCGGGAACCGCTCCGGACGAATCCGAACCATCACATAATCACCTACATCAAATTCTTTGAACCTTCTCTTGAGGTCCGCATTGAGTTTATAGTTAGCATTGCTCAATTCAATTCTTTTATTAATTTCTTTGAGCAATTCTTGTAAATGCGATGCGAATGCAGATGCAGACTCAGACGACCTAGACTTATGACTCATGGGAATTAGATTTATAGGTTGCCTAGGTTGGTATCCATACAGGATCTCGGCAGGACTCAGACCCGTGGTTCTGTTGACAGAATTGTTATAGGCAAACTCGACAATGGGTAACTTAGAATCCCAATCTCTAAGGTTTTCGCCTACTAACGTTCTTAAAAGGTTTCCTAAGCTTCTGTTAACGACTTCAGTCTAACCATCGGTCTGTGGGTGGAAGGCTATGGAAAACTGCAATTTCGTACCCATCTTAAACCATAATGTTTTCCAAAATAACTCATGAATTTAACATCCCTATCAGAGACAATATTCTTTGGTAGTCCAGGAAGTCTCACAATTTCGTCAAAGTAGAGCTTAACAACCCGGGAGGCATCAAAAGTTTTAGCACAGGGGAGGAAATGGGCCATCTTTGAGAACCTATCGACGACAACACAAACAGAATCGTGTTTTCTCAAGGTCTTAGGCAATCCTAATACAAAGTCCATACTTACATCCTGCCAAGGGCAATTGGGCACGGGGAGGGGTGTGTAGAGGCCCATATTTTGCTTACATTGTTTGGCCAATTGGCAGGTGTGACACCTCCGTAAGAGTTTGCCGACGTCTCGTTTGAGGGTGGGCCAATAAAATCGATTTTCTAGTGCAGCAATAGTCTTGGCTTGCCCGAAGTGGCCAGCTAAACCTCCTGCATGTAACTTCCAAACTAGAAATTCCCAAAGTGAAGTGTTGGGAATACAGAGCTTTTGCGCTTTGAACAGATAGCCATCTTCTACGAGAAAATCATTTATAACTTGATCTTCCCTGCTAGTCAGTAAGGAATAGGTTTCTTTGAAATCAGGGCAGTCCAAGTACTCCTCCTTAAGGCGTTCAAATCCGGTAATCTCAGTCCTCATCCCTTGAGTAATCATCAGCCTCCTGCTAAGAGCATCCGCAGCTTTATTCTCAGATCCAGCCTTATGTCTAATCGTGTAAGTGTATTCTTGTAAGAATTCAACCCAACGACCATGGCGGGCATTGAGTTTCTTCTGTGAATTGATGTATCTCAAGGCCTCGTGATCTGAGAATATCACAAATTCTTGTGGCAGTAAGTAGTGTCTCCAGTATCTGAGGGACGGATGACCGTGTAGAATTTCTTGTCATAGGTAGAGTACCTCTGACGAATGTCGTTTAACTTTTCACTAAAATATGCCACAGGGTGTCCTTCTTGAGAAAGAACCCCTCCTATACCAATTCCTGATGCGTTACACGTTACCTCAAAGACTTTAAAAAAATCAAGGAGACGCATACAGGGGATTCAACCATTTTCTTTTTAATATCCTCAAACGCTTTAGTGGCACCTGGTATCCAATGAAACTCTCCTTTCTTGAGACAATCGGTTATGGGTGCCACTATAGTGCTAAAGTTCCTAATAAATCTCCTATAGAAAGTGGCCAATCCGTGAAAACTCCGAACATCTCTAATATTTTTGGGCTCGGGTCACTCATTAATTGCTCTAACCTTTTCAGTGTCAGCGGAAATCCCTCGAGATGAAATTATGAATCCCAGAAAGGTAACACTATCAGTGAAAAACACACATTTTTGGGGGTTGGCATATAACTGTTCTTTTCTCATAATCTTACAGATTTGCTTCAGATGTTTCAGATGTTGATCCACTGAGTTACTATAGATCAAAATATCATCAAAGTAAACGACGATGAACTTCCCTAGGAAAGGTCGAAGGACTTGGGTCATAATTCGCATGAAGGTGCTAGGAGCGTTGCTAAGACCAAATGGCATAACCATCCATTCGTACAACCCATCTTTCGTCTTAAATGCTGTCTTCCACTCATCCCCGGGGCAGATTCGGATTTGATGATATCTGCTTTTAAGGTCAATTTTTGAGAACAACGTTGCTCCGGTCATCATGTCTAACATGTCATCTAATCGTGGGATCGGAAAACGATACTTCACAGTAATCTTGTTGATAGCACGACTATCAACACACATCCTCCAAGAGCAGTCCTTTTTCGGAGTTAAAAAGGCGGGAACTGCGCACGGGCTAAGGCTTTCTTTGATAAATCCGCGCTGTAGGAGCTCGTCTACTTGCCTTTTTAGTTCTGTGTGCTCCGTTGGATTCATCCGGTAGTGAGGGAGGTTTGGTAGGGAAGCTCCTGGCACTAAGTCAATCACGTGTTGAATATCTCTAAGGGGTGGAAGTTGGTTAGGTAAATCTTCCGGAAAAACATCAGCGAAAGTTTCCAAAAGAGGCTTAATCTCATCAGGGACAGGCTCCCCTTGATCATCATCAACTTCCTTAGCTACTAGGGCGTACATAGGGGATCCTTGGTGAAATTCCATATCCATTTCTTTCGCCGTCACGAGGTGTAGGTCCTTATTGTTTTTAGGTGGGGTAGTCTTAGAGTCACCCTTGTCGGTCTTAGGTTGAGAGGGGATCAATTTAATTTTCTTTCCATTGTGTTCAAACACGCAGGTGTTTGTTCTCCCATAAATATGGACGTCGTTGTCAAACAACCAAGGGCGGCCTAGAATAATTTGGCTCACATCCATTGTCAAAACGTCACACCAAATCTTCTCTTGATATCCATTAAATTCGAGAGGGATAATGCTTCTATCCTTGATTGTCATAGAGGTCGAGTTAATCCAAGCAACCTTGTAAGGGTTTGGGTGAGGTGTGGCCTTAATGCTAAGTTTGGAAATCATTGTGGAGGAGACGACGTTAATGCAACTCCCACTGTCGATAATGACCTTGCAGTTCTTATCTCCAATCTTAGTAAAGGTGTGAAAAATGGAAGTCCTTCTCTAGTCATCACTTGGTTTAGGCTGGGACAAAGCGCATCTAATGACCTGAAGGGTGACAGGTTCATCCTCAGTGAAGGAATCTTCCTCTTCATCAACATGATGAACTAAGTCAGTCTCGGGCTCTTCCTCGTCGCCATCCACCTCTTCTTTTATGGTGACTTTATAGGGGCTGGAACATTGTGAAGCAATGTGCCCATACCCATGACACCTATAACATTTGGTTCCGGAATTGGATTTGGGCGCGTCACGTTCGGGGGCTTTACCTTTGGAATCCGGGCGAGGTGGGGCCGGGTTAGCAGTGGGTCGACTACCTATCGAGTTTGTGGGTCGGTTTTGGGGCTAGCTGGTGGAAGTACGATATGGGTTTGGTCGAGAGTCAAACTGTTGAGTGTGGGAGTGGGTCTTGGACTCCTCTAGGTCAAGTACTAGGCTGCATGCTGCCTCTAAGGTGTCAATTCCTCTGACAAAAAGTTCGGTTCTAAGGTCTTCCCTAAGGCCAGCTCTAAACATGAATAGGATTTGGGTTGGGGTGGCGGACTCCTCGCCGTTGCAGCGAATCAAGAAATCGTCGAAGGCAGAGATGTAGTCCTTAACAGGTATGCTTCCTTGAGTCAGTCTATTCCACTTATCTAAGAGTTTAGGATAGTAGGATGACGGGAGGTATTTTCTCCTAAGTTCTTGCTTCATAGTTCTCAATCGTTGATAGGGTGTTCACCTCGAGCTTCACGCATGTTCTCCAAGTTGGTCCAGTACAGGTTGGCTCGACCAGTGAGCTTCATTTCAGCGAACCTGACTTTCCTAGCTTCAGAGATGTTGTACCATTTGAAATAACTATCCATGGATTTAAGCCAATCCAAGAAAACTTGGGGGTCCAGGGTTCCATCATATGTTGGAGCATCAATCCTAATATTCTTCAACAGTTGGGCGTCGTTGTCTCTCCAAGGGTTCTCATCTCCTACGGGTTCGTGATGGGGTCTCGGGTTATGACGGTAATGGTCTCGAGGAGGGCCATTATCTCGGGGCTGCTCACGCTCAGTTCTGTTATCATCGCCATAGGGCGAGTGCGGTCTTGAAGGTGTATAGATAGCGGGATTCCCAATACGCTCGATGTTATCTAGACGGTCACTCGTATGGCGCCTAAAGTCTGCTAAATCAGTTTGGGTGTTGCGTATTTGTTGTGACAACGTGCCGAGTTGCCCCACTATAAGGTCTAGAGTAGCTTGCATGTGTTCCGGGTCCATGGGTGAAGGTTAGGGGTCGCTAGGGGAGGTATTGGGGTGGTGGACAGCACCTAGACACTAAGTTAGGAGGTTCCTAGAGCTTCTATAAGTTGCTGGTTGGCTGTGGACAGCAACTTACAACAAGGAGTTAAGTTGTCTAAAAGTTACGGGTAGGTTTATTTCACTGGACAGCAACTTTGGACAGCTTTCGGGTCACTTAGATGTCTCTGAAAAGTGCAGGAACTGCTCTGGACAGCAGTGATTTCAGGTGTGGTAAGTACTCTAAGTGGTTGGGTGAGATGTAACGGAAAAGACAGCACCTACATGAAGTAAACTGCTTGCATACTACGATGAAAACATGCAGGGAATTACTGGACAGCACACAAAAACAGGAATTAAAGCTATCTAAATGATGCTATGTATGCAAACACCTAAAGACAAATTGAAATAAATTCCTAGGATGCATCTAGCATAAGTAAAGCATGCTAACCATGATCTGATACCACAAATGATGTGAAACCACATACGGTGAATTAAGAATTGCACTTAAGAAATTAATAGAAGCAATGACTTTTAGCTTGCTACCAAAACTCTTTGTTTACTCAAGTTGAGTTTAAGAGTAAGACATAGGTAGATTAGGCAATGACAATAAATTACATGTAGAGAGTTGAGGAGCCTCACAAAATAACACCAAAATTGAAATAATGCAAATAGCTAGAAATAATCAAAAGCCCCAAATTTAACATCTAGATCATTCACCTTGAAGTCCTTCGCTCATTTTGAAAGTGGTGGCTAGCGGAGAAAAATTGTAAGTAGACTTAGCGATGCCACTAGTAGACAGGTGATCTTGAGAGGACTCGTTTTCTGGGAAGGAAGCCGGGTTCGGAGGAGCGGGTTGTCACTACCCAACCCGACCGGGACGGATCCCGCTCGCATCGGGTCGTGGGGCTTGAACATTCAGACTGACTGAACTGATTCCAGGATCTGACTTTGGAATTTGTTTCAGAACTTTCTTCCAAACATATAGACAAAAACAGACGCGCAGAGCTACTATAAACATCAAATGCAGCGGAACAGATCATCTATCCTTTTTCTTCCTCAAAAGAATCATGTACAAATACAGCTCATGGCTTTTAGACAGAAAGAAAAGCAGAACAGAAAAGCCATGACTGTACAAAAATCAAAAGGGCAAAAATACATATACGGAATCAGACTCTGAACTTCTATTCCTGGACTTCCTTCCCCTTCCCAGAACCTGAAAACCACGCAGAAAACAAGGATGAGCTACAACAGCTCAGCAAGACAACAAACCTCCAATCAAAATCCTCAGAGTCCACATCAAACACATCAGACATAAATCCAAATAGAAATTGGAACACAATCGTATATCAAATCAGAACAGAATCAGAATCGTACAGATCAAATCAAATCAGAACAGAACATAAATACATCACATCAGAACTGACAGAATCGTACCAAAATCGGAAATCAGATTAAATCATATCAGATCAGCATTCATATCAGAACAGACAGAATCGTACAGAAAATCAGTATCGGATCGTATCAGAATAGATCAGAACAGAACTGAAGCGTGTCAGAATCGGATCAGAATCATAATCATACAAATCAAATCAAATTATATCATACGAAAATCGAAAATCATATCATTTCAGAACAGATCAAAAGACAGAACAGATTCCCTGACACTGACAGAATCTCAACGGATTCTTGATGTAGACAAGGGGGTGGGTCAACACAAGTTGAGTTTTTCTTGTAATTTCTTGCCTTGTGTCTTTTCATCTTCCCCCTCTCCTTCTCTTCATTATCTTGTCCTTTCATCTTCCATCTTGTCTTTTGGGCTGCTTGTTGGTTTCATATGGGCCTTGGCTAATTTCGGTTTTGAGCTTTAGTTGTTGAATTTTTAGTTGGTGCAAGCTCATTAATATCTAGTAGAAGTGTAGCTCATTATGAGCTAATGTTTAGCTCTAAAGTTGGAGAAGTGTGCAAGCTATATGGTGAGTGGAACTTGTCTTTTCCTCTTCTTCTTTACCTCTTGAGCTGCTGCCTTTTTCCTTCATTTATTTGCTGGATTGCCGTGGCCTTTATACCCCTTTTAAATGCTGCACCGTGGCTTTCCCTTGAAAACTACTATGACGTTTGGGGTTTCTCTGTGCTGATGCTGTGGCCTTTTTTTCCATTTAAATAATGCCTTGGTATTCCGTGGCTTTTTCTTGATATTGGCTCTACCGTTTGGAATTCTCTGTTGTTGATATTACCGTTGCTTTATATGGTTTGCTGCTGTTGGTTTTCCTATGCTGGAAACCGAAAGTCTGCCCTGAGTCCTGTGCTGGATATTTATGGCTGTTTGGGCTGTTTAGTTACCCTCTTTTGCCTATATAAATGAGATGATGTTGTAAGTGTTATAAGTGAATGATAAGTTATTTTTGGAGATAAAACCTGCGGGTTTGTTGTTTGGAAAAGCTTGCGAGCTTTGTCCATTCCCTCTTCCACCTCCTTCGGAAATCCTGCGGGCTCTTTCCAATCTTCGTCTCGTCTCCTAATCTCTTTCTTCTCTCCATAGTAACCATTCCATTGTATCCTTCTTCTCAAAGTCAGCAAGTTTAGGGTGTCTTTTTTTTGTTGTCATTTTGTTTGAGTTGTTTGTAAGAGTCAAGGGTTGTAATGTCATCTTATGTTGAAAGTCAAGCTTGTAAGTCTTTTCTTTATATGATATAAAAAGTGTCTTTTGAGTATTTTTATGCCTTTATTTTGTTCTTAGAAAGAGCTTCTTTTTGTGATCAAAAATTTGGGTCCCTCTCCCAAATTTTTGATTGCATCACATTACTAGCATGCTAAACCATGTTTTCTCAAAGCCAGAAATTCTTGGGCTCATTTGAATTTAAACTTGACAATTTTACTTCAGCACCGTCATGCAAGCACTTGTCTTTGGGACAAAAAGAAGACGATTGTCTTTTCATGGTTTCTATTTGTGATTTATTGAGAGTTTTGAATCATTTTTCTAATCTATTAACCAAAATTTTTTTCTTATCTCCTACTACGTACCTTTATTTAAGTCATCTCTGTTACGCCTGGTTAAGAAGCATTATTTGTCACACTCCAGTATATATATTGAAAGAATCACATTTGTCTTTCATTTTAACAATTCAACTAGTGCTTACTAATGAATAATGAAAAAAAAAAAAAACATGATTGTATTTTTGTCTTATCCGGAGTCTGATATCATAGGATCCTTATCCTTTCCTGAAAACATATAAAACTACGTAATGAGCACATACCCCAACAAGTAACTAAAATATTATAATTGAAATTAATGCAAGATAACATAGAACAATATGTTATAAATCATATAAATAAATAAATGCATCAATGTCTATACTGATTATCTGTATCAATTTATCCTTCTATAGTTCATCGCATCTCAATCTATCACACATCAGTCACAGTATCAATAACAATCAACAGTATTAATTGCCAGTGACAATATTAGAATTATGATCAATAACATTAAAAAGTATTAATGACAGTAACAATTATTAGTGTCATTCACAATATCAATTAGTGTTTGTGACAGTGTCGGTATCAGTATTCAGATATTCAATAATTGTATCTTGAGAGTATCTTGCTCCTGCTCCTATGACTCCCAATCAGTCACCCTTTATAACTCTCAATTAATGTACTCCTTATAACTCCCCTTAAATCATGTGAATCAGTCACCCCCGACTCTTTATAACTCCCAATTAATCGCCAACTCCTTATGACTCCTAATCAGTGAATCACGTGGATTAGTAGGGTATCACATGAAGTTATCATATCTGATATCATTCAGTACTTCATTTAAAATGCATTAAAATCATATCAAATCATTTAGAATGATCAAATATATAATATATCCAAATTTACATGGTGAAAGCTTATGAAATAAGGAGAATGTATTTTTGGTAGATTTAAGAGAAAATCCCTAGAAAAATCAAAATTATTGAACACAAAAGTAAGAGATTAGTCACTATGAATAGAATAAAATTTGTAATTGGAATGACTGACAAATATGATCCAAAGGCTTTTCTCTCTCCTCTATCTTCTTCTCCTCTTTCAATTCCTTTTTGGCCAAGCGATCAAGTGAAGGAGTCGGTGGGGTGAGACATATATATATATATATATATATATATATATTATTCATAGCCTAGCACCGCAACGCTCATCAGATTAGCGCCAAAACGCTCAACTTCAGAATTTTCATATTTTTCAAGAAAATTTATTTCATATATTTGAGTTATTAAATGTATCTATTAAATAATCGCAATTGGGTCAAATTTGATGCGAATTATGATATTAACCCCCTAAAGTAGGTCTTGTTGTCTGCATCATAACCAAGTTTGTTCATGTAGTGCGTTATGTTACTTTGTAATTTTTTTGGGACAAGAAAATTATCTTCCTTTCCTATTGATTTTGCACCTTTAATTTGCTCCCTCATCTGTGACAGCTGAAGAAAAGATTGATTGCGAAGCTTTCTCCTTTTCCCAGAATAATCACATCATTGGAAGCCTTTTCTTCTTCCCAACCCTCATTAATCTCCCCTATTGCTGTCCACTCTCCTCTCCATTCATTCCCAATTGCCCACTCCCACCCACTTATTTACTTCCAAGTAGCTGCCCCTTTTTTCCTTCCTCCATGGAGGGCTGTGATCCCAATTTGGATCATGGCTTCGTCTTTGATGATCAAGGCCTAGTGGATATGCTTCATTATTCTTTCTTCGACACCGACTTTGGGAAAACGACCATTCCATCAAGGAATACATGGATCAGATTCTCGTCTCCCTTGCAACCGCCATCTATCAGCGTTGACCTCCCATTCAGTGGCAACTCTCCTTCCGGCCGCCTGTCACCTCTTTCCTGAGTTAACTCTTCCTTGAACAAAACTTTATGTGCATGCTCTTCTTAGTGGCATCATTAATATTGTGTCAAATTTTCTCCCGCTGAAATTCTCAAAGAGTGTGAGTAAGAGAATTTCATTGTGATTGTTCTAGTTGTTAATTGTGGGAATTCATTTATTGTCTTTTTGTTGTTATTTTATTATTCTCCTACTCTATTCGTAACCGCATGCTATTGCTTGATCACCAACGAAGAAAATCCTAAAATCAGCTCTTGTGAAATGTAAAATTTTATAATTGGTAAGCTTGTCAATCACTTATTAATCCTAAGCAATTCCCGCACCTAACATATGTTTCACATTAATAACTCTCCCTGCTTCATTTCCAATAAACCTTGTTCTTGGTTGTATTTCATTGAGCTTTCCTAATTACAAACATGTTGATTGCAACAGTAAATCAACTCGCAGTATTGGACTACTTTCTTATACCTTCCTAAGGCAAACGGGATGTGATGACATAGTGGTCCCTGTGGTAAGATTGACTATAGAATGTTGTTCCTTTTTTTTTTAATGACGGTTTTATTTATGCGTAAGTATAAAGAAATAAATCAGATTAACTTTCATGTGACAATTTTCTTTTATGCCGTCCTTTTTGTTATAATTGCAGGTAGATTATGAGTTTAATTCTGCAACAGGTGCATGGGTTCATCTACTTCGCATTAATGAAAAGAATTTCTCTTCAAACTTGACCACACTTTTGAAATGGTCTCCTTTTGATACAGAAGTTGAACTGTTGAAGCAGGTATGTTGTAAATTACGTATTTCTTAACAATTATGTATTTTGAAAGCTATTCTGTTTTCATTGCATATCTGATAGTTAAATGAGCCATGAACTGCTTGTGATTGATAATCTCGATATATTTTGTTGGCATATTAACCTTCAGAACAAGCAAAGCAAGTGTCCTCTGTTTAGGAATGGCATAAAGTGTCGAATGGAGAGAAAATATTTTTTGAAAATATTTTTTTCAAGGGTTAGCATGAAAAGCACACCCTGGGTATGAGTGGTAACTGATGTCGGCAAGAGGAGGGTCAAAACAAGTTGGGATTTAATTTTGTAAGTTTCTTCTTGAGTCAGCTCATTAATGAGCTTCTACTTATGTTTCAGCTCATAATTTGGCTTTATTAGGTTCATTCCCCTTTATTGGCATTTGGTTCTTCCCCCTGGGCTGCCTCTTCGCCTTCTTGTGTCTCCTTGGTTTCTTCCTTGTGAATAAAGGCTGTGCTGGTTGCCTTTTCGGTTTTCTCCTAGCTACTTTCCCGTGATTCCTTCAACCCATTTCTTGGCTGGCTCTTTGGGTCCCGTTTTAGCTGTGTTCTTGTGGCTTCTTGGCTGGGTTTCCATGGCTTCCTGGCTGGGTTTCCCGTGGCTTCTCCTCCCTGTTTCCTGTGCAGTTTTTGGTTGCTGTTTTGTAATAAATGCTAGTTGTTTGGGATCTGTTTTTGGATAGAATTTGGACAGCCTTTTGTCCTTCCTCTTCCCCTTGATTGATTTAAATGGGGTTTTGGGTGGCTGTTTAGCTGCCCCTTTTATCATATATATATATGATGTTTTGTACATAAAAAGGATGATATGTGAGTGATTTTTAGAGCCTAAACCTGTGGGTTTTGTCGTGGAAAAACTCGAGAGCTTGTTCCATTCCTCTCTTCTTCTAGGAAAGCTTGCGAGCTTCTCCTTCTTCATCTCGGCTTCAAATCTCTTTCTTCTCTCTGCAAGATCGACTCCACTTGTATCATTCTTCTCAATCAAGCAAAGAAGAGCTCCTTTAGGTGTTTTGATTTTGTGTCAAAGTTTGTAAGAGTCTTTTATTATAAAAAGTTGTATTGTTTCTTATTTTGTCTATTTTGTGTTCTTTGGTGCATTTTCTTTATCCTAGGAAGCGTGTGTTCTTGCTTGTAAAAATTTGGGGTTTTTTTTTCAAATTTTTGCTTGCATCAATTTGATATCAGAGCTTAGGTTTGTGTCTTCCTAGGTCTCTCTTTTTGTGTCTTTGTTTTAAGTGTTTAAATATGGAAAATAAAGAACAGCCAAGTAATCCAGTGGACAATCTTTCAACAATAAAATGGATGCCTCATCATGAAGATTCTTCAGATCCTCTACAGTTTGAGCTTTTAAAGATTCAAGAACAACTGCAATTATGTGATGAGAGATTCGAGTCTAAGAGGCGATCACTTCTAGCAGAATTTGAACGAGAAATGAAAGCCATCAAACGAAAGTATGACATTCTAATCCAAGAGTTTGAAATGCCGGATCTCCAAAATTTTGAAGACAACTCATCAGGAGATGAATATTTTCAACCGGAGGAGAATTTATGTAGACAAAGGGGGTGGGGGTCAAAACAAGTTGGGTGTTATTTTTGATGAGCTTTGATTTCCTCTACTAAAAATCAGCTCATAAATGCTTTCACACTACTTTAATCAGCTCATAATTTGGCTTTTATTAGGTTCATTCCCACTTGCCTTTGACTCTTTGGTTTCCCCATTCATGTTTCTTCCCATTATTGTGCCTCCTTGGTTCTTCTTCCTCCCCCCCCCCACCCATGGCCGGTTCTCTTCCCCTTGCTGTGCCGATTGCTCTCTGTTACCTGGCTGCCCGTTGGGATTTCCTTTTGCCGGTTCTGTTTCCTGCTGCCTGTTGGGATTCTCTGCTTGCCGGTTCTGTCCCTGGCTGTGTTTCCCGTGGCTTGCTGGCTGACTTTCCTGTGACCTTCCTGTTTTCTGTGCAGTATTTGTGGGCTATTTGTGGTGTCTTTTGGCATTCCTCTTCCCCTTAGTTAATTAGTTTTAAATGAAGTTTTAGGTGGCTGTTTGACTCCCCTTTTGTGCCTATATATAGATAGTTTGTGGCTGTTTTAAAAGGTTGGTTGTAAAGGGTTATAATGTTATTTTTGGGAGCCTAAACCTGCGAGTTTCGTCGTGGAAAAGCTCGAGAGCTTGTTCCATTCCTCTCTTCTTCTAGGAAAGCTTGCGAGCTTCTCCTTCTTTTCTCGGCTTCTAACCCATTTCTTCTATCTGCAAGTGACCACCCCACCTGTATCCTTCTTCTCAATCTAGCAAAGAAGAGTTAATTTAGGTGTTTTTGATTTTGTGTCTAAGTTTGTAAGAGTCTTTTATTATAAAAAGTTGTATTGTTTCTTATTTTGTCTATTTTGTGTTCTTTGGTGTATTTTCTTTATCCTAGGAAGCGTGTGTTTTGCTCGCAAAAATTTGTGGCTTTTCCCAAATTTTTTCTTGCATCAATTTGGTATCAGAGCTTTAGGTTGTGTGTCTTCCTAGTTTTTTTCGTGTTTCTTTTAAGTGTTTAAGAAAAATGGGAAAAACCAAAAATATTGAACCAGTGGTGGAAGAAAATCAACCAGAAGATCGTGAAGTCCAAATTCCAATAAATAGATGGGTTTCAACGGAAGTAAGTTCAACAGATCCTTTGCAGAATGAGCTATACAAGCTTCAAACAAAAATGCAACTGTGTACAAAAAATTACATGAAGAAAAAGAAACTGTTGCAAGCCCAATTTTTGCAAGAGCAAGAAATTATTTTGAAGAAGTACGCGGATAAAGTTCAAGAACTTGATGCGTCTCCTTCGTCTCATCCGGATAAATATAAAGCTTCCTCATCAGGAGATGAGCTTCTTCAACCGGGGGAGAATTGATGTAGGCAAAGGGAGGGTCTAATCAACTTGGGTTCCTTTTGTCCTTGAGTTGCTTGCATCAGTAACTAAGAATCATTATGAATATTTATGGTACAACAAAAAATTACCACAGCAAAAGTCAGCGGGCATCATTCAGTCTTTGCAAAGTTTGTATGATAAATGCATGGTCTTTTTTTTCAACATGGCTATGTGTACTTGTCATTTACTTATAATGAAGATAGGATTTTTAACATGTAATTCGTTTTTTGTTTTTATCATAATTTTTGTATGCTTGATATGTTTTTTTAGATTAAAAGGATGACGAAAAATGAAAAAACCAAGCAATATCCTTCGCCCTTGGTCAAGTCTTGATGTTTTATATTACTGGCCTTCAAATATAGCACTTTATTCTACCAAATCATTCGCTAGTGTGCTCATTTTGCATTGATATATTTAGCATCCTGAAGGGGGGAAAATAGTGGAATATATTAGCTTCTATTTTATTGTTCTGCTCATTTCCCCTTTTCTTTAGTTTCTAGTGACTTAGAGGGTTGGAGTGTAGAAGAGTAGATTCAATGATTCATAGATGTGTATGCTTGCAAGATGCTTGCTTTATCATTATCATCAACATTATCAATAGTTTTATGCCATCCATTTATGGATCATTATTCTTCATTTTAAGTATTGTATATGATGCTGCTACTTAATTAATGCAAGCATTTATTCTGACTAGTCAATTTATTTTTCGTTCACCCTTTTTTGAGCTTATGTCTTTGATGCGGGCCACCGCCGACCACCGCCGACGCCGACCGGCAGAGGGAGGGCCGGCGACCCCGCGGCGCGCGGTCGGACTGCGCCGTTCGACCCGCTGAAGCGGGGAACGCGGGATGGGGACGCGGGGCGGAACGCCGAGCGGGACACGCCGAGCGGCTTGAGCGGAACCGGTCCATTTCTGGACCGGTTTGGCTCAAGTCTAGCTTGAACCGGGCGGTTCAACTTGGGCAGCCCACTAGTGGGTATGGTGGGGTCTTTTGCTTGCTATATGTAGGGATTAAGGGGGGATTTCTAGGGCATGAAAGATTGAAGTTTTCTCTTAGCCTCTTAGTTCTTTCTCTTGCTTTTTCTAGGGTTTGTAGTGGGAGACCTTGTCCTTCTCGAAGTGGACAACTTGTATCTTGTTTCTCTTGGATTTTGAATGCAAATTTTCTTGTTCTTCCTCTCATCTCTCTTGTGTTGATTTTTGTCGTGGATTTGGAAGAGAAATTCCTTCTTTGGAAGAGCATTAGGGCAAATCCTAACTTGGGAACCCTAAGGCGTATCAGTCTTTTATGTTGATACCATCTACCTACCTTATTTGTCATATTCTTTACTTCATTAATATTCTGAAAACACTTAAATCCTTTTTATGCAACATTTTCTTCAGTAGATTTTGCACAATCATTTCACATGTTATCCTTGATCTCATTTTTGTCACTCATGACTAAATTGTTTCCAACTTTTTGCCTAAAACTGTGATCCATATTCCACACAACCTTATTTATGTTATTAAGCTTACAAATTAAACTTTTCAATCTTCATGTTTTTCTCTTATCATTTCATACTCTTGAAGCATATCTTCATTTTAACAATCCTGTTTCAATGTTACAAGTTATAATTTTCCTATATTCTCATTCTTTTGTACAACAGAGCCAAGATATTGAATCCTATCACCTCTTAGGTATTATTTCCTCTTCCATTTTTTTTGATTGATCATACTCACTTCCATTGAAATTGTAGACAGTACTTCATATCACCATGCTGTTTCGTAATAAATTTGTTTGATCTTTTGAGTTCTAATCTATCACATTTAACAGTTTTTATTTGGGATTTTTACATACATAACATTTAAAAAATTCTTATTTACTTATCTAACACCTAAACTTGCCTATTTACACACCTAACACCTAAAACTTAATTGGCTTTCTAATATATCATTCTGTCTTCCTCTCCGTTAAAACCCGCCCGTTCGTGCACGAAACTCATCTTCCTGTTCGTGAAAATCATCCGTTTGTTCCCTCTTTGCCTTCAGCCACCTTCATCCGAACATCTGAAGTGCAAAATGATGAATTCAGTTCTTC